ACTCCAAAGTTTTTGCAGCAAATCACACTTAGAGGACACGCGTTTTGATATAAAAAATACAAGTTTCCGACGCATGTTTTCTGTGAATGCAAAGCGCACGTTAAGGACGGGCGTTTTTATGGCAAATCACACGTCGAGAATGCGAGTTTTGCTGTCAAATCACTTTTGATGCTCATTGTGCAATCAGACGCCCGACCAGGCGTATATGAATGCTTTGGCTTGCCATAGGATCACTGCGGCGGCAGGCTGTAGTGAATGACGTGATTGACATTAGCTGGATTTGGCTAGTCTCTAAGCTAACGCCTACATGCCTGTATTGAATATGATCACGCATCGCTCCAGTAGAGTTATTGTAAGCCAATTTGACATTAATTCAAAATAATCCCGAACCTTGCTCGTCTTTCCCGTGGTCACTTTTGAGCTCGCCACAACTGACACGAAGAAAACTCATGCGAGGTCTGAGGTAAAAATTTAGGCCTAGTTTACGCCCAGATACACTTTTAAAAATAATGTTTTTTTTTGTTTTTTTTTCAAATGTTTTATTTTAACTTAATGTTTTAAATGTAACAATGGTAATTTGATGGTAACATAAATTGATGGTAATTTGAATAATTATGTTGTTGTTTTTTCTGACTTTTTTTTTCTTGACTTTTATTCCTTGATATCAACAATTCAATTTTCACTAGTTAAAATGCTGATTCTTGATATCAGGAATTCAATTTCAACTAGTAAAAATATAATTCTTGATATCTGTAATTGTATTTTCACTAGTTAAATGTCGCCATAGACTGTCATTCAAATTCAGTTGCAGACATCAATAATTGATTTCTTACTAGTTGAAATTCCAATTTCACATAAGAAAATTTTTTATTTTTTTATATCAATAATTCGATTTTCACTAGTGACAAATGTTAATTTCTGATATCATGAATAGGATTGTTACTAATAAGAAAGCCATTTTACATATGAGAAATTATATTAATTTCAGAAATGCATTTTTAGATATCAGAAATAACAAATGAAACATGTTGAAATACATTTACTGATATCAAGAATTAATGTTTCAATTAGTAACACCTGAATTCTTGGTATCAGCAATTCACATTTTTACTTGTAACAAAGTAATTATTGATATCAACAAAGGCAGTTGATAT